CATAGACCAGGGCAAGAGATGGAGCATTCGTAACATAATGGGTGGGGATAGTGGAAACATTTAGTCTTTTGCGACGGCGACACCTTGGGAACGGGGCATGCCTGGTATACCGCCAATCGTTCTTGCCAGCCGAGATAGTGCATCTCCAGTGATGACCGGTCGAGTGCTATGTGGGGCACGCTGCCCCGCCCCTCCAGGAGGTGTCGAGTGGTTCCGCACATGCGCGTGAACAAGCGGGCCTAGTGGCGAAGATGTACCCGAACGAATGGCTCGCTGATTTATCGCCGCCGTGCGGGGATGTGGAAAGGCGGGGCGGCCCTCTGTCTTCGATCGACCATGCGAGGGACTATATGTGCGCGCAGGAGACGGGGTACTCGGGCTTAGCAACGATGGAGCGGAGTGGGAATCCGGGAGGCCTTTAGGCGCATGGATGGATCCAGCGAGGCCGTGGTCGCTGGAAGAAGAGCTGAGAGTCTTTTCTAGTACTTCTATCTCGGCAATGGAGGGAGCGTGGATAGAGTGTGAAAGGCCTCCCTCCTTGGAGGCAGGTGACTCTTCACCATCTACGATTAACGTTGATTTGGATATCAAGTTGGAGTGTGCAGAGCTTGCATACAGGCTGTCCCTTGCAACAACCGGCTTGGACGGGTGGAGCGAGGGCTTATCAGTATGCGTGATAGCTTCGGGCGCGACAACGGTGACGGGAGAGTCATGCGCATCTGCAGTGGCCGTGACAATGGTATCAGGTGTATTAGATAGGGGTGAGGAATCTGATGTGTCCTTGGTGATTTCGCCATCAATATCATTGCCTAAAGGTTCCATGTTATGCTCCTCTTCCTCATCTTCAGCATCATCTTCTTCCGTCTGAGGTTCTGGCAGCGGTTTGAGCGCATCTGTCAATATGGGTGATATCTTATCACTTATTTCATCTGCGCTGGTATTGTTCCGAGTCGTCGTAACACCCCAATCATCAAGGTCGGGCAACGAGTCATCCTCTTCACCAGCCCAATCGATATGGCTTCCAGGAGTTGAAGGCCTATTTTCAGCCATTGCAACTGCCCTGACACGTTCGACCAATGCGTCAATATCGTGACGAATTTCAGCCTCGTGTACAGCTGCCGGATGGAGAGGGATTTCTTTATGTGGTGCGATAGAGGATGAAGTAGAAGATGCTGCCCTTGGCTTCTGTGGACGTAGTGAAGTGGACGATGGTATACTTGGCTTAGTAGCACCGTTTACGGAAGGCTTGGCAGGCTGGTTGGTGTTAGTGCGTCGACGTCGGTTAGCATTATGACGAGTGGGTGTGGAAGGCACGTTGTGCACGGAATCTGGAGCCGGAGAAACTGGAGCTACAGTCACAACTGGAACACCGCGAGAAGTACGCGTTTTAGGCTTTGGAGTACGGTCAGCTGGACTAGGAACAGATTTTTCCGAAGTTGCACTAGTAGCTTCCGACTGGGAAAAACCCTTACGAGCTGGTGAAGGCTCGGCCTTAGGCGTGGACACGTCTGGGAGGGAACCGTGGCTCTCCGAGGGTTCTGTGTGTGAAAGCTTGCTGCTGCCTCTGATTACTGGGCTGTTTGGAGGGCGACCACTACCCCTTCCACTACCACCACGAGCACCTCTGCCCCTCCCTGAACCGCGAAAAGTAGATCCTGTCTCTCCGCCCCGTAGCTTATTCCAATCTCGCGGCCGAGATTGGGGCTGGGTAGAAGGGTTTGCACTGGTTGGGGGAGTTCGGCTGGTGGGGCTCGCCATGAACCGTCTTCGATAAACAACGATTTGGCGATGAAAACTTTATGGGTTAGCTAGCCTGTTATATGGTCTAAGCAGCGGCCAGCAGCTGAATGAAAGCGACAAACGCCGACAAATGGATCTTGCTCGGGTTGATTTGGAGGAAGGGTACGCCCAGTCAGATTTTATACAGAGCAGCAGATAGATTGCAATATACGGCCAGCCAACAAAAAGGGCTTGCAAGGGCGTTATGGAGCTAGGCTCTGGATTTAGTATTAGTGTTGAACCAAACACTGCAAAGCAACAAACCTGCTCGAGCTCAGCGACCCTGACAGTGACTTATCATCTGTAAATAATCATGTCCAAGGCATCACAACCAGAACTTAAGAAGGTAGACAGTCAGACTTCTATTCAAGTCCTGCCTTTGTATGCTAAATGACTTGATACAGTTTATGGACAAGAAGTTGTTCGTCCATCTGCAGGGTGGCCGCAAAGTTAGCGGTGTTCTGCGTGGCTACGACCTCTTTCTGAACCTCGTCATCGACGATGCTCTGGAAGAGTCGACCCCGGCTCAGAAACATCCCATTGGAACTGTGGTACGCCCCCAAATGCTGCTTGCGGGCAACATCTTATTTCCATCTTTGCAGGTTATTCGTGGTAACAGCGTGACATCGATGGAAATTCTCGAAGCTATCCGTCAGTAGTAACACCCGTTTGTCGCCAATGCATCGTAGATTGTGCACGAGAAAATCGACCGTCCAGCAACACGGAGTGAATAGTATAATTATATCCGTGGTTGGTTGAGATACAGCAATTTATAACGCGAGGATTGTACATGTACAGTGTGGGTCATGCCTGAAGCTTGAAGAGCGCAGGATGGTAAGAGCGCGTATAATACTGATATCGGCATGTACAACTACTGAGATCTGAGAAGTGATGTACTTATACTAGTAGTAGCTTAGATCTGCGAGGAAACTTGTAATTCCTAGAAAGGAAGTTAGCACATTTTTCGTCGGAGTCGCTTCAAGCGAATTTGTGCACTGCAGGCATTTGCAAGAGGCTTCGGATACTACTGGCCAGTCCTGGCGCCAGACTAATTACTGTTCCATGCGGAGACAGCTTTCCAAAGTCTGCTTTTCCGCTACAACCCAAATTCATTCCCTACGTCGACTTGTTCATGCATCTGCTCGCTGCTCCTCCGCTATAACCCTTCCGCTTCATATAGTGCATGATGCATATTCCGGCCCAAGCACAACCGCTGCTTCACAAAAGAATTCCAAGGACATCATCCAAAAGGAAAAGCTTTCTGCTCTTATGGAAGTCCTCTCGTGTGAGACACGGAGTTATGCCAGAGTATGGTCATGCTATGTCGATTTCATGAACTACGCGGAATGCGACGATCTTCCTCTGGAAGTTCATCAAGCAGTTCTTCGACGTTGCGTCCCTGGCGCGTATACCTTGAGAGCATGGACAGCGCGTCGCATGCAAGCAGGCCAAGCTTCTCGCATCCCTCACCATTTTGAGGCCCGTCTCAAGACCGTCATGCGTAATATCCGAGCAACAGGCGCAGATGCCACTCTTGACGACTACCATGTCGTTCTGCATCAATTCGCCGCTGTGGGTCACTATACCGGTGCAATGCAAGTACTCACAGAACTCACGCACGTCTGCAAACTGGACCCTGAGGCGAAAACATTCGGCCTATGCCTCAAAGCAATCGCACACCGTTTGTCTCTGCCAATATATAAGGTGCAGCGCGAGGACATGCTTGCTGATGCGAGCAAGCTTTGCCGGAAGCTGCTCAAGGAAATGTCAGCTCGGGATATGCCTTTAACATCTTTCAACCTTGACTTGGTGATACGTATCTTGAAGGAGGTGTTAGATCAGGAGGGCTTCCTTCAGCTCATGAAGCTGGGCTATGGTATAGACCTGGATTATCCAGACCACCCTCCATTACAAGGCTCCAGCATGTTGTCACCTTTTTCCACCGCCGCTCTCAACACTACCCTTGACATGCTCGGTCGCCTCGGCAATGTAGCCAAACTCGTCCAAACTTTCGAGGTCCTCACCCAACCCCTTCCACCACAAGCCAGCCAGCACTATTCACAAGAGTTCGATGATGAGGATGACTTTGGAATCGCAAACCCCGCGTCGACCGAGCCACACCTAACACCCCACGCCCGGCCTAATACTACTTCGTACAATATCTTACTGAAGCATATCTCGCGCGCAGGCCATGCCACCTTTGCACGGCATTACCTCTACCAAGCTGTGCGTCTGGATCGTTCGGTCGACCGTCTTTTACGGAGTCAGCTGTATCGTGATCCCCATGGCACGCTTGCACCACACTTCAGCCTTAACCGGGGCACCATAATACCTGTTTTTGGAGAGGCTAACAGAGACAAGAATATAGAGTTGATGCGATGGGTTGGATGGGTTACGAGACAAACCATACGGAGGAAGAAAAACGATATCGCGTGGTACTCTGAGCTACGCGACAGCCTCTCTCCTCCTCCATCTCTCTCAGAGCCAACTTCCTATGGCTCTTCCAGCTCCTCTCCACCAGATGTCTCGACAGCTCTAGATGTCGACCTCGACACTCCTTCCACGGCCCCAGAATTCCACCCACGGGAGAAAATATTCGATATAAACCTCCATCTGAACATCTCCCAGAAAAATCTAGACGAACTCGTGACGTGGTACGAGAACCACTATGAAGTCGCGTTCAGTCGGGTGACGCAACGGGTGAAGGAGCGACTTGGCAGACGGGTATGGGCTGGGAAGAATATCTATTTGCTCAGCAAGAATGCTCGGGTAATTGTGCCAAGGAATGCATGGATGAGGATCGTGAACTTCAAGCAAGGAAAGACGGGTCTTTCAGGAGATCATGGTGGTCGAATTATGCGGAACGGGTGGGTTGCAGGATATAAAGGTTTCAGAGCACCCAGGCCCCAGCCCCTGCAGTTTTGTAGGTGTTTTTATGGGATGACCTCTTAATGTGACTAATTCTATGTCTTTAGTCGACCCGTCATCGATGAGCTGATTTGACCAAGTGCCTGTCCGGTGTCGTCACCGCCTGGTCATCTATACCACCTTTTGTGCAACATTCTCAGGGTATTAAACTCACGCGGTTTCACTGCAACTTGGATAGCATTGATACACGTGGGTTGATTGCGGGTGGAGGTATCATACATGTTGAGATATGGATATGGGGCAGAGTCCAAGAAGACAACAATGTGATGCAAAACGTGAGAATGCGGTTTCGACTACAAAAGTTTTTTGTGATCTGCAGCTCGATCATCGAGAACTTTCTCCATCGCCTCCAGCCATAAGCGTATGTTAGTTTGAAATCGCGAGCTGTTGAGATTGCTGGTGGTTGATGATGTACTAACACCAATGCCAATGTACCTCGCAAGTGCAAGAACGGGCAAACGCCGAAGGGCACGTCCTGAAAGTTGCTGTGCCTGTGGGAGTTCCTGAGCCATGGACACTAGGGAGAATGGTTGGACCTACTCTGCATTTATCAGCAAGAGCCAGTAAAGTAGACGCAAGGTTTTCTGGTGAATAAGGCAGTATGGTACCACTTGCGCTAGAGTGATTCTTGTTGCTGCTTTCAATGTACAGCGCTCGGTCAAGCGCTGGTACTGTCTAAGAGGTACCATCAACAAGAAGATCGATAACGAGATCGGGTTCATGGTTAGCTCACCGTCTCCTGTAGTATTCCTTTTTTGATGAATTCGCACAGGGAGCTACGAAGAATCTCATAGATGGCTTCGCGTGGGGGTAAGTCGACGTATTGGATGATATCTGCTCGATCAACGAAGGCCGAATCTTCGAGAGGTAATCAGACATTCCGTATGCATGGTCCTCCCGCATCCTTACCTATGGCTTTTGCAAGGTTACTTGTGGACATCACTAGGACGTTCTTCTGGTACCTGAGCTTGTCCAGTTGCGTGAGGAGAGCATTGACCACCTATACACTTCGTAAGGAATACACATCATGAGACACTTGCAGACGTACCCTCAAGCCGTCTGATGGTTCTGTGCCTGCCATGGCGCCAGCTCTGGCTGCGGTAAGGGATTCTACTTCATCTAGAGCGCTATAAGTGGGTAACAACAGTCTATACGCGTGCCAGATTCACCTATCAGCACAACCACGAAGCAGTCTTCATCTTCCACCATTTCCATAATGTTACTGAACAGACGCTGTACAAGTTTTCCTGACTCCGAGAACCAACGGGAAAACAGGGAGTGAGAGTTGATCTCTAGGAGGCGTGACTGAGAGTATCTGTTTGTTACGAGGAATGTGAAGTTCGAGAAGTCGACGGAGAGCGCATATATTGGACTTACCGATGAGATAATCGTATGGATAATTTTTGAGCTAGTGCCCGACATAACGATGTCTTGCCTGTCCCTGGAGGGCCATGTAACAGGACCACACGGTTCCATGTCACCAAGTTAACTGAAATAGGGTCAGCATACATCACGGTCACGCCTAATTGCCTCACCCACAGTCGACATCAGCATCACTCAGAACAAAAGTTGCGTGAATATAATCAAGTAGTTTCAACTTGATGTTATCCGCATATATCAAGCCATCCCACAATCCCTCCCATGCCTTGCATGGGAGTTCGCACACGCTCGCAGCGAGCACGTTCTCCTCACCATCTCTGCCTGGTGCTCCATTAGCATATTCTTCGACTGCATCGGTTTCGTGTGGTTGGTAAGCGTGAATTTCTAGTGACACCTCTTTGAGGCGTAATAACTTCAATGGACATGGTGATTCTGATATTGCGATTCGTTCCACCGATGAAGCAAGGGTCGGGTCTCCTTCCCATCCATTGAGGATGGATGGGAGTGTGATGGGATCATAGTTATTGGTAATAAAGTCTCGGACGAGACCTTGGATGATATCTACGCGTCGTCTAGATTTCGTGGAGAGTCGGACTTCGACTATACATGCGTCGCGGATCAGATGTTTGATGTAATTTTACTTGTAACTGAGACTTACCGTGCACGGTCCATATTACATCTGATTTGCTCTTATCCATGTCTGACTGCGATGTCGATATCGCGTCCTTACTACTGTCGATCACCATGTTTGAGGTTGGTGACATTCTAAGGATGATGGTAGACGCGATAGTAGACTCGGAACAAACAACGCGTCAACAACGATCGCATATTCACGTGACCTACTTATCAGTGGTTGCTGTCGACATCAATTCCATCATTCGGCCAAGATGGCAGAATCGGCTGGCGTATACTGTCCGCTGCCAAGTGAACAAGATAATGTAGAGCAGGCCAAAGGAAATCCTGCTCTCGACTCGTCGACTTTCATTCCACCGGCTCCACTGATGTCACCCAGCATTATCATAGAATTCTGCGACCGAGTACGCAGTGCTTGTTGTAACAGCTTACTGTGATTGATGTATCATCTGCTATCCAGTGTCGATGGTAAGAGGGATGAGTACTGCTAACTTCCGATTTCATTCATTGTTTGTAGGCTCCATCGAGCGACCTGGGTTTCCACAGAGCTATTCCTTACATTTCCGCCTCCAGTCTTGAAGGCGATATCAATCATTCCCCTGAACTCTGAGGAAACTGGAGGTCGTTTTAGGGTCTGGCTTAACCTCGAAGGCAGTCCCCCTCAATTGATGTGGGACAGGAAGATCGAGGGTGGTTTTCCTGAACTGAAAGGTTTGGTTAGTTCGACTTGTTCCAGACGATGCGATGAAATCTAATTGATGCCCTATCAGAAGCAGCGTATACGCGACTACGTACAACCTGGAAAATCTTTAGGTCATTCTGATAAAAAGAGCGAATGACGTGTCCAATTGGTGCCCTGGTCAAACCCTGCTGGAAATTATTCGAAGCAGATTGTGAATAAAAAAACGTTGCCTACTACGTCACGATAAGAGCATGTATGATACTTATAGTGAGAATCGGTTTTGTTGCATAAGTGTCCGTCGCGAGAAGTGCTTCACTTTGTTCTCCGCCACACCCGCGAACTCGGACGGCAGTAAACCTTTAGGACTTGCTAGGCTCGATTAAATTCGCGTCCATCGCGTTTTCTCTTCCTCTCAAACAATCATGAGCACCGAGAGGCTCGAAAAACTCATTAATCAATGCAAAAGCAACGGTTGGTAGTATGCCCTGGGAACAACCATCAGAACTCACAGTGTCCACAGACGTTGACCAAAAGGTTGATGCCGTTACAAAACTGCAGGCAGAGTTCGAGTCGGGCATAGAAGTACGTGTCGGTTACCTGGTCAATGAACTGAGCCTCATCAACTGGTTGTATTTAGATCACAGAACCAGAACCAGTCATCTCTACCCTCAAAGCATGTCTTCGTATCTCAAACCAACATCTAACGACCGCCACGCTCTCTGCCCTTCCTCCTCTATTCCCCTTGATCGTTTCGCGCAACAATGTCGTCCCAAACGCAAACGCGCGCCCATTATCAGCATCATCCTCCACGTCGTCCACTCCCGGAACGTCTCATGACTTGATGGTTCTCCGCCAGATTATGAATGCGTTTCTTCCCGCTCCTGGCGTCATCGAGCGTCTCGGTGATACCCGCGAAAAGGCTCGTGATAAGGCGCGTGAAACACTGGTTATCCTCGGCGGACTGGCATTCAGGGCTCCATCTGGTTCAAAGATGAAGGATAGCAAGGGGGGTCCAGAAACGCCACTTACAATATTCGAACGTTTCCTCAGAGATAGCGGCTTTGGAAGCAAGGTTGCCAGAGTCCGAGAACAAGTAAGTGGGACCTTCCGAGCTGGTGTGACGACTTCTCACTCTCTACCGTAGTCATTACTAGTCCTCGTGCACATCCGCCGAACCCACCATCTTTTTCCTGTTCGACCATACGTTTCATTACTGGTAGACACGTTGGAAGACACGGATGGTAATGTTCGCGCATGCGCATCGCCTTCCGTTATCGAGCTCTTCACTGGGCCGGGCGTGACGGACGCTGCTCGCTCAGACCTCAAGAAAGAGCTGACAAAGAAGGGGGTACGCAAAGCGATGGTCGAGAATATTCAGTCACAGCTTATGCATTCCAGTCGTGCTGCTGGGACAAGCACGCCCCAGAGCGAGGGCTCCGCGGGCAGTGGAGAGCCAAAGAAGGAGTACATTCCTCCAAGCATGATGCTGCAACAGAGTCGCCGTCCAACGGTTGGCGCGGCATCTGGAGCTACGCCCGGTATCACGAGGGCAGTAAGTCAAGGAAATGTGAGAGAGATTCCGAGGCCACCAAGTCGAGCTGCAGTTGTCTCTCCGCCTTTGTCGTCACAACCGTCAAGCGAAGCAGCTAGTACGGTTGAACCTGCTTTTGTATGTTCTGCCACCTCGCCTCGCAGAGATTTATCTAAGCAACAATCATAGGTTGCATCTAGCCGAGATCTGGAAAACGAATTTCTAGCATTTGCAAAATCATTCGAGGTACTGTCAACACCCTTGAATACTTGGTCAGCCTTCTTAACTTGCAACATAGGGGAAGGAAACAGAACACAACTGGGCTGCCCGCGAACGTGCCATTCAACGTGTCCGCGGTATGCTCTCCGGAAATATACATACAAGATATCCCGATGTATTCCTTCAATGCCTAAAAGACGGATTCATGCAGTCTTCCATAAAAACAGTAAGCATTTCAAACTTATCAAAAACGTCTTACATACAACTCTCCTTTGTTTCAGCTCGTCAGTTTACGGACAACGGTTTCTGCAAACACCTGCTCCCTTTATTCCGAGCTTGCCATTGCGTTGGGTCAAGGGATCGACCCGTTTTGTGAAATGTTGTACACGAATTTGCTCCGTATGGCAGGATTTACCAAGAAAATTACTGCTCAACAGTCCCAGCGATCGCTCTCCGTTATAATGGAGCATGCCTCAGCACATCCTCGGGTTCTTCTTTCCCTCCTTTGGAACACTCTCCAAGAAAAGACGGTGCAATCTCGAACATTCGTAGTATCCCACATCACCCACTATATCCAGCTACATGGGACACGGGCAAGATCGCATATAGAAGCTAATGGTGGTGTGGAGATCCTCGAGAAGTCCTTGAAGAAAGCGTTGGCTGATCCCAATCCTGCTGTCAAGGAAACAGCCCGCAATGCGTTTTGGGCATTCAACAGTGTCTGGTATGACAGGGCAGCTGGAATTCTTGAGTCTCTCGACCCCATAGCACGCAAGCAGCTAGAGAAGGCATGCCCAGACCCTGAAGTTATTGCCAGTCTTCCTTCCACCACACCAAACACACCAAATGTAAAGAAGAGCAGCGTTGCAGCTGCGATTGCTGCCAGTCGTGCCAAGGCCAAAGCCATTGCAACTGCGCCCCCTACCCTGAGACACCAAGCGACGTCCTCATCACACGCGACACGCGCAACATCACCTACAGCACGGAGAGTTGTGTCGCCAATAAGCCCTACGGCTAAACTCTCGAATGGGCGCAGTTCGCCATCGCCAGCTTCGAGGTCCTCGCTGTCCCCTCGTTCATCCTTTTCCCCCCTTACGCCATCGAAATCACGTGTCCTGGGTGGTACTATGCCTCGTTCTGTAAGCTCTAGCGCGGTCCTGACGTCACATTCACGTTCCTCCACCGATTCATCGGTGTCATCCAGCCCCGAAACAAATCGACGTCAAGGATCTTCTCCCCTTGTCCCACCCATATCTCCTAGCCGTTTATCTACCACCCGTAAAACTGTGCAGCCGAATCTTTCGGATTCCTATCACGACTCACCAACCCCTCGTTATCACGCACCTCCAGTTCCAGTTCCAGTCCCAGCTCGCCAGTCAACTGTAATGCCCGATATTAACGATGACCAGACGCTCTTACTGGCAACCATTATACCCATACCTGATGATTGTGATTCTGATATGGACGATGAGTCTGTCAATCTCATGTCTTTCTCGACTCCCTACAAGGTGTATCCTCCGGCACCCAGTCAACAACGCTCATTCTCTCCCCGCTCCGATCGTTCAACGCCTTATACTAGTTCTGATGTATTGTCAAATGGAAAACCTTCAGAGACAGCACTTGTTGAAGACGCTCTTATAGCTCGAGCAGAACAAGCACAGAGTGCTGCGGAACGATTGCTCGAGCTGAATGACCCGGATGGTGAGGATAACCAGCACTCCACAATTCCTCCGTCGCTACTCCTTGGACGTAGCGGATCTGCGACGCCAAAATCCAAGGCGCAAAATGCACCAGCGATAATACGAAGCCTGGCTCCTCCTGTGACTCCGGACAACCGAACCGCAGCTATCTTCCGCCAAGCAGCGTTATTCAAGAATAGTCCCGCAAACATCAAAGCTGTAGACAGCCTCGTGAAGCCAGTTCAAGACCAGGTACATGAGACTGGTTGGTGGTTGAAACGCACGTCCAGTGAGTTATCATTAGTTACAAATCCTTGCTGTTTTCTGATTTTGGTTTTATGCACGCAGCCCTCGGACATGCCACACCCCTCAAAGCAACTGAATTTAAAGATCATGTACAGGAACTCAACGACTATATTACCGCACTGGAGAGCGATCAAACTGACATTCGGATTCTCCAAAAGTTAGCGTTGTTGTGCAGCAGCAATCCTATACCTTCCGCAACGACGTCTCCCCTGAGTCCAGGACTGGGACTTCCTTCCACTGTTTCGCCTTTCCTTGGCATCAGTCGCTCTCTTCCTCCACTGATCCCTGACATATGGACTAAGGAAAAGAGCTTTGAACGGCTATTCAATGCTCTGATTAAGTTTCTTAATCCTTTAAGGGTGCGCTAGTTTACTTTTTGTTGGTGCCATTGATTACTCATTTGACCTATTTGAATAGGATGCAGAGCAACTTGAATACGGCCTCATAGTGCTCTGGGAATTGCTAAGCTGTCAAGCACCATTTGTGGAAGGTCGGGAAGCCGACATATTCGCGACTTTGTTTACTGTGCGGTACTGTAATGCTGTTGATGTAAATACTATCCCTTGCTGGTGTACTCTATGCTCACGACAGTTCCAGGTTCTTGAAGCAACTAAAACAATCCGTGATGCCCTCGCAACACGGATCGAACCTGTTTACGGTCTAACCACAATGCACGGCAGCCTGCGTGCGTTTCTAGCCGAACCTTCGTCAGATATGAGTGCCAAACACGCATCCCATGCTTTTGGACTAATCGCTATGGGTAAATTCGTCATGCGCTTGCCCGCTGAAGTTCTTGAGGAGGAGCTTCCGCGCTTAAAATCTACCTTAATGGCAGCGCTAAACGACACTACTCTCGTCATTCGCGAAGCCGCGTACGCTACTATCATAGCTGCGCAGCTCGTGCTCCGAGACGAGACTCATCTCTTCGCGTTGCTCGACGGGCTCGATGATAACAAGAAGAACTTACTCACGTATTACTTCGATAAGCACAATGCGAGGGACCTTGGCGTAGATGGCAACGGCGTTGGAATGACGAAGCTAGAGGGTCAGATGGGGAGGTTGGACAAGTTGATGAATACCCCGCAGAGAGAGAAAGGCCGTGCATCAGAGTGAACGCTCATTGCTCACGGTATTCCATGATATGCTTATGTTCACCGACTAATATGGATGTGTTTCAGAGCTACCATGCTCGTTAATATGTCTGTTTCTTTTCACCATCGCTATTTTTTATGCTGTTTGATTTGTAGTATATATATCACGTTCATTTTTTTTCTCTATTTCGCACTTGCAACGCCGGTCCTGTCTACATTACACTTCATATGCTGCGTAATGGATCTCATTCTTCTGATTGAGTGTAGGTAGTTGGCATGATAAATGCCATCACAGCAGGATTTGGCAAGTCTAGCGACGAAGAGCCACTCT